CGAATTACATCAATTATTGCACACTTCTAATTGGAATGAAGTTGAGTTAAGAAAGGGACGCTCAGAACTACCTCATAGTGACTTCCATTTTTATTTTTTGCAATAAAAATGCGTTGGTATCAACAATAAACTGGCGGGAGGAACGCGTCGGTTCGCCATTTTTATGCGTCTAAATTTCTAATTAATTAATGCAAATTTTCCAATTAAGAGTTATTACGGAAAACGCACATTTTAACACCAGCTACGTAAGGGATTAGCGATCAAATTGGAAAACTTTCAATGGCATACAATTATTTTTTTTAATTAGATTCATCACTAACCTTTAATTGCCGCTAAATCTAATGAGGTTGTGATCTCTGATGATGGTTTTCTCAAAACTCTGTTGTTTTCATCGGATTTGTAGTAGTTGCACAACAATTTTGAAGTTCTAAAACCGGAGCACACGCCGACTCATAGAGGAACGATCTGTGACTGAACTCCCTCTCTGCGAAGCAGTAGGTGATGCCATTTAAATTCAAAAAGTTTTAACAACATTAAAACTCTCTATTGTGGATCAATGGATAAACCGAATAGCGCCAATATGACAAAAAATCAATAAATTTTCTAAATGCAATTAATTTCCAATTAAAGGAATGGGTTAATGTCAATACTAAATGAAGAAAATTAATCGAATAGAATTTCAAATCACTTATAAACTATGCAATTAGTGTACATTGTAGCAAATTATTCATATTAATACATCCTTTGATGGTGCATGCACTTTATTAGTCTAATTGATTGGGAAGTTTTAGAACTTTGATAATTCCTTCGAGTCTGATTTAGCATTAATTTACGTGACATATTAACAGATTCACACTTAATGATACAATTAGAACATTAAGATAATTGTGTATGTTTGTGTTTATCTACTCTTTACCATTTTTATCTTCTTTTCATGAAAAACTAAATAGATTAAATTACAAAGTCTATAAGAAACCAAGAAACCTTGTAAAAGAAACGAAATACCTACACATAAATCAAAGTAGCTTTAACTTTTTCTTTTATCTTTGTACCACATACTGGTGTAAAGGATAATATTGTGGATTCTTAAACTTCAACTGGTTTCATACAACTGGAAATAGTATTAGGTCAACTAATTATAACACAATTGGTTAATTATGAATGAAATACTAAACCGTTTTTTAATTTCACCATGTAGTGAATTATAAAATGTTATATATAAAAGAATTATTGAAATAGAATATAATTGAAGCAAGATTTAACAATTTCATTTAAAAAAATTGCAAATTAAATTTAATAAGCTCATTGGGTTATATTATATATTTTATACTTTACCTAAATTGTCTTTGTATTATAATGAATGTCTAGTCATAAGTTGATTTTTATATTATCTATGGAACAATTTTCAAACTAGTCATTATATAGATTACCGGGATTACACTTTGCCAATAACGATTGTGAAAGAAGATGTTGGAAAGACAAGTACTGGTCAGTGAAAAACAACATTAAATAATCAATTAATCA